TATCTTGGAAGGGGGAATCTTGTTTGCCATCCCCAAAAAGAATGAGGATCCCTCTTATACCCAGAAGGATTCTGTGACACATCACCTGTCGTACAGTGATTGGGTTGTTGTCGGTATAAGAATTCCTGTGAATAATCCACCCCAGGAAAGTAAAGGATAGTTAGTGCAGGGTGGACCTCCCAGGTCCTGATTGGTCCCGGATGAGGGATTTTGCCAAACCAGAGGAGGTCATTTCTGGATCTTCCTGCTGCTGCCCCCCCTCCCTAGTCCATTGGCCTCCCAGCTGATTCCTCATCTCTTGCTAGCCCAGCTGATACGCAGGGCAGCTGTGCATGCCGCACAGGGGTGCTCCAGGTTCTGCAGGGAAGCTGCACACACGGCACTGGGGCTCTGGGACACCTCCTCCCCAGATGGTGGGGGAGCACTCCAAGATTTTGATAAGTGATGAAGGGTTGCACTTCTCTATAGAGCGGGTGTGAGGTCTAGAATGGAAATTGGGTGCAGAAGGGAGATTGGGGTAACCGATTGGGGTGCAAGAAAGGGTGTGGGATCTGAGGAGTTTGGGTGAAGAAGGGGCTTGTGACCTAGGACAGGTGATTGGGGTGCAAGGTCCAGGAGAAGATAGGAGAGCAGGAGAGGATTTTGACCTGGGCTAGGGATATAGGAGGTCTTTTTCAACTCTGATATTAGGAGGGGGTGTAGAGCCTGGCAGGGAGTTGTGAGCTGGAGGAGGAGGGGTGTAGGGTTAGGGATGGGGGTATGAGTGCAGGAGAGGATTCGGGCCTGGGGAAGGGGCATAGGAGGAGGTGCAGAGTCTGGGAGGGAGTTGTGACCTGGGCGTGGGGGGTGCTGACAATTGGATTAGGGATGTTGTTTACTCAACTAAACAATTAACCTGGGATTATCAGTTAATCTTATTGACTACATGCATTTGCCCCTCCCTCCCTTCCTTTACTGCCTCTGTATCAGAGACAGTAAGACGCGGGGGAGGCGGAAGGCAGTGCTTTTGGGAATCTGGCTTTTAAGCAGGCTCCTCATGAGCACCTGATCCCACAGAGCTGTCAGCCCCTTGCAGACAGGCTGCTGCCACCCCATGCTGTTGGCAGGAACTGGTCTACATACGGAGCCAATTTTTAAACAGAGGCAGCAGTGCAGGATGGTAAGGGGGCTCCCTGGGAATGGGGCTGGGAGTGCACTGGCTGCTGGTCCTGCCTTTGGGGACTATTGAGTAATCGTGTAACCACTTAGATTTTGTGTGGTTACATGTTTATTGAATTATTGATATCTAACATCCCTAGTTTGTGTAGTGACCTGGGCTAGGGAGTTGGGGGGCGCAGTGGGGTGCCAGAGGTGGGGGGAGAGGTGCCAGAGGCAGGCTCTGGCCAGGACGTGCTTACCTTTGGTGGTTCTTGGCCAGGAGCTCTGAGGCAAGCTCCCTGCCTACCGTAGCCCCAAGCGGCTCAAAATGGAAGAGGCTCCCTCCATGTGCTGCTCAGAGCAGCATGCCCCTGGCAGAGGCAGAGGGGAGACTTTGTGTGCTGCCCCTTCCCCCAGACCAGTCATCACTGCTGAACTGGCCAAAGGGAGTTGTGATGATTGGCATGAGCACGAGGGCTGCACATGAAGTATCTCGCTCTCCTCCCTCGGCATAGAGGGAGCCACCAGTCATTTTGAAAAGCCTCGGGTTTCAGCAAGCAGAGAGCCTATCTTGGGATCTTGACAGGATGGGCCACAGGCTGGATCAAAAGGCTTGGCAGGCTAGAAACTGAGGGCCAAAAGAACATGTGGCTTTTCTTGTGAGAGGGACTCCATATTTGTGGGTTTATTTTTTTTAATGGTTGAGTTTTTTTATTTTCAATAATTCATGTGCTAGACTGAAGAATATATGTTTTTGGATACGTGCCTGAATGCCACATTTATTTTTTCAATTAAGAATAAAACCTACTAAGGCAAAAGGCTTCAACTCTAAACCTGGAATTTTTTTTGAAACCCATGAAGTCAGACACTTTGATTTGACACCAAAACCTAGAGTCAGGATTTACACAACCATATTGACTTCAGAAGGATTATATGAAGTGAAAACCAGCATTGAATCTGTCCCTGAGTATAAAAACATTTGGTTTCTTTTATAGTGGGATTCCTATTATGTTCAGGCTGTTGTTTCTCTCATTCACTCAGTGAAAACAAAAATTCTGTCCTACTTGTTCATCAATACTCTATTGTAGACTGGCTGCCATTTCTGCCAATCAGGACTATAGATTAGGAGACTAGTATTATCAGAGTGATCCTTATTATGATTTTCTTTCCACGTTAGCTCTTTTAAAAGATTTCTCTTAAGTTTTGTCCCCCCATGGCCGATGCTCAAAAATATTGTATATTTATTAAATACTGGGGCTGTCAATTGACCTGTGTTAATGCCTGTGATTAACGCAGGACAGGATTAACATGTTAAAAAAAATTAACTCCAGCTTGTGCTGTTGCCCCTTTGAAGTGCCGCTTCAGTGCCTTAAAGGGGCAGTGTTGCATGGAGCACAGGGTCAACTGGGGACTCCCATCTGATCACAGGCTCCATGTAGCGCTGCTCTGTTGAAATGCCACCATGGTGTTTCAAGGGAGAATTGTGCACAATTCAAATTTTTAATCGCTTGACAGCCCTTATAAATGCATAACACTTTCTCCCTTCCCCTGCCGCTTGTCTATTAAGTAAATTGGATCTGTGTAACAGAGATAGGTGTACCATAT